TTTCCTGATCACCCAGAGCCTCTACTTGGGAACAGTATCCCAATTGGGGCGCCATGCAGATAGGAGTTCCAGAAGTCCATGTGTGAGTTCCCCACAGATCTGTGACTGAAGGAGGGTGTGATGTTTAATTTCGTCTCAACTTGACTGTGCTGTGGGGTGCCCAGATACCTAGTTAAACATTATTTGTGGTTGTGTCTATGAGAGTGTTTCTGGATGAGAATAACACTGGAATCGGTAGACTCAGTAAAGAAGATGGCCCCCCTTCCACAATAGGTATGCCTCAACCAACCTGTTGAAGGCCTGAATAGAACAAAAAGGCTGGCTGAGTAAGAATTCTTTCTGTTTGACTGTCTTTGAGCTGGCGACATCCGTCTTCCACTGCTTTTAGATTTGGGCTTGGACTGAAAATCATACTATTGGCTCTTCTACTTTTTAGGTCTTCGGCCTTGGACTGGAATTATATTATCACCTCTCTTGGGCCACCACTGGCTGACTACAGATCTTGGGACTTCTCAGCCTCTATAATTGCATGAGCCAACTCCTGATAGTAAATGGGGCGGGCGGGGGGCGTGCATCCTATTGGCTGTGTTTCTCTGGAGGGTTCTGAATAATACAGTGAGGCTGTAAATACACAGAGTGAGATCACCTGAGGTTTATCAGAAGCAGATACTATATGGAGTTGAGATTAGAACAGAGATCCTAGAGTTAGAGCAGTTATGTAGTAAGAACACTGCCAGGAAAGTTCTGCCCCTGCTAAACCAGAGAAGTCTTGTAAACTCATCTTTAACATCCTTTGCAGCCAGCTGAAACAGCAGAAAATTTACATCTCGGGTTAATGACGAGAGTGCAGAGTAAGTCCCACTCTAGGTTGGTCCTAATAAAGCCTAAAGTCAAACCATGATAAGATCCACAGGAAAAGAATTTGGAGGTGGAGTCTTACCAAGTTATTGGGGCTTGGGAAACCATTTAGGCTCTCCATTGACCTGTAAAAACAAAACAAAACAAAACAAAACAAAACCTAATGAAGTATAAGGTCATTAGCCTGTAATTACATTGCCTGCTAAAATAAGAATCCATATACTTTGTGGAGAGATAACAGACTCTGAAGTATTGTTCACAATGTACAATATTCAATAAAAAGCCACTTAGACATGCCAAAAAAACCATAACAAACAAACAAATGTGATCCATAGTCTAGGAAAAAACAATATATAGAAATTAATCCAAATGTTAGGCTTAGCTGACTAAGATTGTAGATATGTCCAAAGAATTACAGGAAAACATGATTTTAGTGAATGAATATGTAAGGAATCCTTACAGAGAAATGAAAATGATGCTTGAAACAAACATACTAAAAAATAAAATAATTGGGAAAATTCACTGGATAGGTTTAACAGCAGATTGGAGATAGCAAAATAAAGTCATTGAATTTTAAGACAGACCAGTAAAAACTAAAACTTAAACACCTGCATATACCGTATTTTGCTGTGTATAATATGCACTGATGATTTTGTGAGCATTATACACAGGATTATTATACCCATGGTATGTAATCATTATACCCATGTATAAAGTGCATCCATATTTTCCCCTCAGAAATTTGGGCAAAAAAAGTGAGCATTATACACAGCAAAATACAGTAAGTGGACCTGCACAGTTCAAATCTGAGTTGTTCAAGGGTCAATTGCGTTTTCGATTTGCAGTTGGGAATCCATGTATGCAGAGGGCCAATTAAAGTTATACATGGATTCTCAACTATGCCTCAGGTTAGCATACCTAACACCCGTGTTATTCAAGGGCCAACAATACAAGTTCAAATGCAAAGACAACATAACTTATGGAATGCTCTGACTGCAGTGCTCAGAAAGAAATGCATAGATGTACAGTTCTCCAATCAACATGAAAAGATACTCAACTTCAGTAATTATTAGAGAAATGCAAATTAAAACCACAATGAGATACCATCTCACATCCATTAGGATACAACTATTTAAAAAAATAAGTTTATGAGGATATGGAGGAATTGGAATCCTTGTGCACTGATGAAGGAATTGTAAAATGTTGCAACTGCTATAGAGAATAGTTTGGAGTTTCCTCAAAAAATTAAAAATAGAACTACCATATATCCAGCAATCTCACTTCTAGGTATATGTCTGAAGGAAATGAAATCACTATCTTGAAGGGATAGCTGCCTCTCCATGTTCATTGCAGCATTATTCACAATAACCGAGACGTGGAAACAACCTTAGTGTCTACCAACAGATGAATGGATAAAGAAAATGTGGTATGTACACACAATGAAATATTACTCAGCCATAAAAAAGAAGACAATCCTGACTTTTGTGACAACATGGGTGGACCTTGAAGGATTATGCGAAGTAAAATAAGTCAAACAGAGAAAGACAAATACTGCATGTTCTCACTTAAATGTGGAATCTAAAAAAGCTAAACTCATAGAAATAGAAAGTAGAGTGGTAGTTGTCAGGGGCTGGGGGAAATGGGGAGATGTTCTTTAAAGGGTATAAACTTCCAGCTTTAAGATGAGTAAGTTTTGGGGATTGAATGTACATAATGTGACTACAATTAACAACATTGTATTATATACTTGAAAGTTGAGAATAGATCTTAAATGTTATCACGTATCTCAATAAAACTAGGGAAAAATAGCAATATATTGTGGGGCTTATATCATGTATAAAAGTAAAATATGTAACAACAATAACGGAAGTGCCAGGGAATGAGAAGTATACAGGGTAGGGCAAAAGGAGATTTACAGTTCTTTGTATAGAAAATAATACAATAATAATACAAGAGTAAACTCTGTTTCATAATACTCACAACTGTAAACCTATTTTCCCCCACCCTGTAGTATAAAGTTATTATGCTACACATGATGTGCCTACTATAACCTGAAGGTAGACTCTGATGAAGTTAAAGATGTATACTATAAACTTTAAAGTAATCATAACAAAAATGAAAAATAATTGTTAATTATCAACAAGGATTAATGGAATAACAAAAAGTACTGAATTAATTCAAAAGAATGCAGAAAAAAGGGAAAGAATAACAAAGAATAAATATAAAACGAATAGCAAGATGTTGAAAGCAAACCTAAAACGACAATGATAACATTAAAAGTTAATGATCTAAAAATCTTAATTTACAGGTTTGGTAAAGTACAAAACATTTAACAAAATTCAATACCCATTCATGATTAAATTAAAAATATCCCAGCAAACTAGGATAAGAAAGGAACTTCTTTAACCTAATAAAGGACAAGTCAGAAGCCCACAGCTAACATCACAATGAGGAAAGACTGGGACAAGGTAAGGATGTCCATTCTCATTGGTTCTATGCAATATTACCAGGGCAATAAAGACAAGAAAAAGAATGAATTGACATATAAATTGTAAAAGAAGTAAAAATATTCTTTATTTGCAGATGACACAGTTGTGTTCACAGAAAATCTCAAGTGATCTATAAAAAACAAAAAAGCCACTGCTGAACTAATAAATGAATTTAGCAAGATTATAGGAAAAGAACACGGCCAATATACAAAATCAATCACATTTCTATATGCTGGCAACAAAGAACTGAAATTTTATATTTAAAAATACAATAACAATAGCATAAAAGATAAAATACTTAAGAGAGACATTCAACACAGTAAGTGCAAGACTTCTACATTAAAACATTACACTAAATATGAAAAACATTGTTGACAAAAAGAAGATCTAAATAAATGGAGAGATACAAGTTCATGGACTGGAACCTTCAATATTGTTAAGGTATTATCAATTATGCTCATATTGATCTATACAGATTTGGTGCAATTCTAATGAAAAATCCTAGTTTTTTTGGTAGGAATTAACAAGCTGATTTGAAATATACATGGCTATGCAAATAACCCAGAATAGCCAAATCAATTTTGACGAAATGATAATAACAAAGTTGAAGGACTTATATTACTAGACTTCAAGACATCAGTAAAAGTTATTGTAATCAAGACAGAATTTTGTTGGAATAAACACATACATAGACAGCTCAAGCTAACAGAATAGAGAGTTAAAAAAAGGCATATATGTGGTAAACTGATGTTCTATTTGGCAGCACTGTAATGCAATGGGGGAGATGCTACAACATTAGATGTATTAGTTATCTGTTACTACAAACAAATTACCCCGCAATTTAGTGGCTTAATAAATCATAAATTTCTTAATCTTACAGTTCCTGTGAGGAATTTGGGAGTGGCTTAGATGGATAGTTCTGGCTCAGGATTTTCGTGAGGTGGGAGTAAAGACATCGGCTGGGGCTCCATTCACTGATGAAAGCTCTACTAAAGCTGCAGGATCTGCTTCCAAGATAATGCACTCACATGGTTATTTGGAAGAGGCATCAGTTCCTCACCATGCGGATCTCTTCACATGTCTGCTTAAGTATTCTCACCACGTGGCAGCTGGCTTTCCACAGAGTGAGTGATCAAAGAAAGATAAAGCAAGGGGGAACCACAGTGCCTTTTATGCCTTAATCTTGGGTCATAATACCATAATTTCTTCACATTCTAGTCATTAAAATCAAGCCATTAAATACAGCCCAAACCTGAGAGGAGAGGAATTAGAATCAATCTTTTGGAGAGGAGTGTCAAAGAACTTATGGAATATAAAATGCCCACACTAGGTATCCATATGGAACAAAATGAATCTCAACCCTTACCTCATACCACACACAAAAAATTATTTCAAAAATGGGTCAGAGTACTAGATAAAAGGTACAACTATAAAACTTCTAGAAGGAAACACGAGATAATCTTTGCAACCTTAGGATAAGCAGATTTCTAAGTACACAAAAGCAACATTACAAAAGTCAATGTTGTACACATAGCAGTATATATAAATGTCAAAAACAATGTTGAGTGGAGGCAGATTACACTGAGTTGTTGCCACCACTGCAGCCATCACACCAGCCCCTCAGGCCTCAGCAAGGCTGGGTCATGCTCCAGAATGGGAGATAAGCCAATTAGGAAGCAGGATGGCTCCAGCTTCATTCAACATTACTACCAGTTATATGATAATGACAGAACCCTACTAGATGCAATTTACATCGATGAGTCATGCCTTACATGGGAAGGTCAGAAATTCCTGGGGAAAGCTGCCATTGTGGAGAAGTTGTCTAGACTTCTGTTCCAGAAAGTCCAGCACAGCATCATGGCTCAGGGCCATCAGCCCATGCCAGAAAGCTGCATTATCAGCATGGTTGTGGGTCGGTGTAAGGATGAAAACCCCATCATGGAGTTCCACCAGATGTTCCTATTAAAGAACATCAATGATGCCTGGGTTTGCACCAATGACATATTCAGGCTTGCCTTGTACAACTTTGGCTGACCTCCTCCCAGCCAGGCGCTCATGCTGTTTCCTCCTCCCTCCTCTTCCCCATACTATTCACACTCTTCCCGATGTCCCAAGTATCATACACAAACAAGCAGGGCTGCGATGGGAGTGGGCACAGTGTGCTGCTGCTACGTAGGTATTGTGCATGATATTTGGACGCTGGATGAGTTACATCTGACAGAAGGAGTTTGTGTTGTACTAGCGCATGCTTTGGAAAATTTTAATGCAAAAGGCTGTCTTTTGGTTTATTTTTTTTTTAAATCTATTGACAAGTTGCTCACATAACCCAAAGTGAAGGAAAAAGCAGCTGTCTTGCAGCCTAGATAATGATTTGTTCAGATGTTTCAATACCTCATGATACAATAAAACCACAAAAATTTTAACAAAACCAATGTTGAGTGCAGAAAAGAAAGTGGTATAATAATATATGCAAAGTTAAAGAATACTGTACAATAATATACCTAAAATGGATACCTACATATATATTAAGAGTATAAATGTGTGCAGGGGAAAACACCAACTTCAACATTGTGTTTGCCTCTGGAGAAGAAGAGAAAGAGGGGAAATGGCATCCAGCTGGGGCACACAAAGGAATTTTAATTGTATCTGTAATGTATTTTATCTTTAAAGATCTGAAATGTAGCAAAATAGAAACATTTGGTAAAACTGGGTGAGAAAGCCCTGGCTGGTGACTCAGTGGATTGAATGCCGGCTTGTGAATCAAAGGGTCACCAATTCTATTTCCAGTCAGGGGACATACCTGGGTTGTAGGCCAGGTCCCCACTTGAGAGGCAACCACACATTGATGTTTCCTTCCCTTCCCCCTCCCTAAAAATAAATAAATAAAATCTAAAAAAAAGAATTAAAAGAAAGAATTTATTTAAAAAAACAAAACAGAACTGGGTGATAGATATATGGGGTATTCATTGTAGAACTCTCTGTACATTTCTGAGGTTTGAAATATTTCATAATTAAGAATTTTTTAAAGGAATGGGCTCAGCAGGCTATGACCTGCAAGTGGGTTGCCTGTTTCTGTACATAGTTTCACTGGAGCACACACACATTTGATTATGTATTGTCTGTGGCTGCTTTCCTACCACAACAGCAGTCAGTAGTTGTGATAGAGGCCATATGGCCTCTAAACCTAAAATATTTTCTACCTGGCCTTGATTTATATCATCTATAGTGTTTGGCTTAATGTCTTAAATGTAGTAGGCTTTCAAGAAATGTGCTAAGTACTCATAAACAGTGCATGTTGGTTTTTTGTTTAATGAATATTAATTGAGCTCCTACTAAGTGCCAGGTAATGTTGTAGGTACTGGTTATATACAGTCACGAAGACAAAGCCAGGCCTAACACTGTCCTGGGTTCCAGGTTGTCTCACTGTGTAATGTACCAGGACTTTATTGTGCTGCTTTCCGCTAGAGGGCAGCCTGAAGCTTGCCCATAATGATGTAGTAATAGCTCTTAAACCCAACAATCTAATATTAGGGGGCAGGCAAGAGGCAACCACACATTGATGTTTCTCTCCTTCCCTTCTCCCTCTCTAAAAAGAAATAAATAAAATCTAAAAAAATAATTAAAAAATTAAAAAAACAAAACAGTGATAGATACATGGGGTATTCATTGTAGAACTTTCTGTACATTTCTGAGGTTTCAGATATTTCATAATAAAAATTTTCTTAAAGGAATGGGGTCAGCAAGCTATGACCAAGCAAGTGGGCTGCCTGTTTTGAAGATCAGAACAAGAAGGCCATTATCAGAAAAGCTAAATTTGCTTTATAATAAGGACCAGGAAAGAGTTGTCATGAAGGACAAAATATCAAACTACTTAAGGTTTATATTTTTCTATCAAGATTGTTTTTGTTTTTATTGTTGGCACTATTACAGATGTCCCCATATCTCGCCCTTTGCCCCCATCTACCCAGACCCTGCCCCCACTTCCCTCTGGCCATCACCACACTGTTGGATATGTTTATGGGTTATGCATATATGTTCTTTGACTAGTCCCTTTGACCTTCTTTCATCCAAGATTGTTCTTAACAAAATTATAAAATGGGTCAAATTTGCCTTTGGAACTCCTAGCCTCCTATTTCTTCACCTTTTCTACCCTTTCCCCTACAAAGGTAGAGGGAAACATTACAGGTGCCACCTGTAAGTAAAAAATGTGGGAGGAACAAGCAGGTGCAGCTCTAACTAATAGATCAATCAGGGTAAGAAGGGAGAGGAGATACCTGGAAAGGGAGGGGTAAACCTAGGAAGCACAGAACTGCAGGCCAGAAGCCACCCTGAAAGCAGAAACATGTGCGTGCTTGCTTGTACACAGATACCAAGTTTGGTGTCTACCACATTAAAAGAAGAGAAGAAACATATATCTTCTATTTATTAGTGCACCCACTACCTACTTTGTGCCACACAAGATACAGCAAATGAGCACTACAGACACAGTACCAGCCCTGAAGAAGCATAGTTTACCAGGAAAGTCAGACATTTAAAAATAGAAATGTGCTAAAAGTACTGGAGTAGTAAAGACTTTCAGTTACTAATAGCATAAGATACCAAGTGTAGTGGCATAAAACATTATCCTCAGAGATTCTGTGATTTCAGTGGACTGGCTTGTTTCTCCTCTAGGAAGACTAGAAGGCTAGGGGTAAGTGCTGGTAGGGGGCTGGAATCATCTAGAGGCATCTTTGCTCATAGCTAGTGGCTGATGCTGGCTGTCACCTGGGACTTCTGCTGAACTGTGGGATGGAATATGCATACATTTCTCTTACATGTTGTCTCTTCATATGGATTAGTTTGGGCTTCCTCCGAGTACAGCAGTTTAGTTCTAAGAGCAAGCATTCACAGGAAGAAGGGTGGAAGTACATAGCATTTTGATGATAAAGTCTCAGAAGTACTATAGCATTACTTCTATCGTACTTTATTTGGTCAGGCAATCACAAAGATCTGCATAGCTTCAAGGAGAAGATCCACTAACTCCACTTCTTGATAGAAACAGCACTAAAATTACATGGTAAGAAGAGCATGTGGGATGGGAGATATTATACTGCCGCCATCTTCATAAAATACCAATCTGCCATCAGCTGTAATGATAGCATAGAGTAGGGGTAGCGAGTAACAGCAAAGGTCTCTGTGAGGAAGTCTTGTCTTCAGCTAAGGGGGGTAAGTGGCTAAAAGGAGCCTGGGGAGGAGATTCAGGTAGAAGAATCAACATGTGTAAATGGTGTACTCCAGATAGAGGCTGGTGTGTCTGAATGATGCATTTCAAAGTGATGAAGGTATGAAGGGTAAGGGAAACATGCTGCAAGAGGAAGAAACAGAGGGAAGATACCATGTGCCCTGGATCATACCCTCTGTGCCGGACCCCGAGAACAGGAGCAGTCTCCAGTTAGAGGTGTCTTAGGAAGTGAGGGGCTAGAGAGGACAGCAGCAGGCAGTGACCACCCCCAAACTCATGAAAGTGAGGGAAACCCTATGAGGTTTGGTTACCATCTAACTAGCCCAGGGGCCCCAGTATGGAAGATAGTCCTGCCCAAATCTTATCCAGATAAAGTAATGGGTGTCCAGAGGAAATAACTATGCCCAGACTCCATTTGCCTCTAATATGCCTGAGGCAGTTATGGATAAAGGAGTTGACACAAGGCACATCAACAGTACAATGGAGATGGGAAGACCCAGAAAGTCTACAGTAAAGATCTCAAGTTGCTGTCACTTAGGCATCTGCTACCCTGTACTCTTTCCCCTCGTCCTCAATTTAGATCAGAGACTGCATGGTTTTTTTCCCCTCATTTTATACTTGGGATTGAATATGTCTCAAATTAGTCTTATCTCAAGAGTCTGACCCAATGGAAAATTAACTGAGCGCACAGTTCCCTAAAGGGCACCGTGCTTGAAGATCAGGACAAGAAGGCCATTATCAGAAAAGCTAAGTTTGCTGTATAATAAAGATTAGAAGATCCGATCCTGATTACAGAATCCTGAGTTGTTCCCCCCACCTCATCCTTCTAGATCATCCCAAAAGATCTATAAGATTCCAGTTGGGAAAACACTAGTTCTTGGAGAGCAAGAAAGAAGAGGATTATTGGTTGAAATAAAAACAGGACTGAATGAGTCCAGAAAACAGGTTCTTAAACTCATGAACAACAATCTGCCAAAGAATACAACTTTAAAAAACCAACTAGAAGCAATATGCAGAGAGGTAAGATGAGAGGGACCCGTTGTCAGGAAAGAAGACAGCTGGTCCACAGCAGAAGAATCTGGATCCAGCCCTCCAGGCAGATGGGGGTGTTGCTCTGTCGAGAAGCCCCCTTCAGGGTGTATGAGGGAGACAAGAAAGAAGACTCCTGGAAATGGATATGGTAGCAGTACCAGCAAAACCCTTCAGCCACCTCGGAAGAAAAGGGCCTAGGCTGACCTCACTGTTGAAAGCAAGGAAGCATTTAAGAATAGAATGGAAGTTAAAGGGAAGATTCCTAAAGAATTAAAACCATGGCTTTTTGAGGACTGGGACTTAGTTACCAGGCAGAAGCAGCTGCTTCAACTCCCTCCTAAGAAAAATGTAGATGCCATTCTAGAAGACTATGCAAGCTGCAAGAAATTGCAAGAAAATGTCAACAATAGCCATGGCTGGTGTGGCTCAGTGGGTTGAGTGCCAGTCTGCAAACCGAAAAGTCGCCAGTTCAGTTCCCAGTCAGGGCACCTGCCTAGGTTGCCAGCCAGGTCCCCAGCTGAGGGTGTGAGAGAGGCAACTTGCACATCCATGTTCCTCTCCCTTCCCCTCTCTCTCAAAAATAATAAAATCTTTTTAAAAAGATATGCACTGCCCAATGAAATCCTCTTGGCTCACCCTGACACACCAGTGTCCCAGGTTTATGGAATGCCCCACCTACTGAGATTATTTGTAAGTCAGACCAGTGTTGTCATTTATGCCCCTTGATGAGAAAAGCCTTGCATTATTATTGGTCTATTTGCATATTTGGCAAAGAATGCTG